GTAGCTTAAAGGAAACGATTGGCTATCATAATCACACTTTATTTACATTGTTTGTAGCCTGATTTAGCAAGTTTTTTTTTTTTTTTTAGAAGAGCTGAAATTCCTTGAATGTCCAATTAAAACTTTCTTTCTCCTCACTACTTCAGAAAACATTATGCAACGATTCATTTCAATGAGAGGTATATTTAGTTATTCAGTTATTCAATTACTCGATTATTTTTAGTAGCTCACAATGTAATAATTTACTAACATTATCTGAAAATCTTTGAAGATTTCCATCGTACAATTAAAAACAGAACTCTAATTGCGTTAAAGGCTCAAAGATGTATTATTCATTTTATTTATTTCAAAATGATGTTAATCGATAAGACTTAAAATTCTTATAAAAGTAAATTGTTCCATACATATAAAAATTACACAACACTATGAATTTAAAAAAAGATTCAACAACAACAACAACAAAACACACACCACCGTCACCACCAAGTATAAGGTCAAAAAATACCCCTCCACCACATGCTCCTCAACAATCAAAAACAAAATACGGCAACGAATTTCCACTTCATACAGTATATCTCTTTAATTTATACTATGAGCAACTTCATTTCAATCGATTATTCTTCATAGTTCAACATAACAATCTAAATGTTCAAGAGCAAATTATAATTCGTCGTGACCTAAAAAATATGGGAGCAGATATAACAATGATTCGAGGGTCGGTCTTAAACGCTGTTATCAAACAGTCAGTGACTTATCAAAATTTGGCACCGTTAATTGTAGGACCTGTTGCAATGATCTCTTCAAATGTTTCAGAAGAGAAAAATCCCAAATTGGTTTCGGACATTTTGAATATTATTAATAATCAAAAGAAGTTACTATTGATGGGTGGTAAACTGGATTCTTCATTGTTAAATGTGGAAGATGTTGAACGAATGTCTAAACTACCAAATAAAAAACAATTACAAACTGAAGTGGTTGGCATGTTGAGTGCACCAGCGGCAAAGATTATAGAAATACTTAACAGAAATTCGCAAAGTTTGGTGATGTCTTTGGAGATGCATAAAGCGAATCTTGATAAAAAGAGTTAACTTTAGGTATTTTTCTTTTTTTCTAAAGATTTTTTTAATGTTGACCTAATTGATAACGAGATTAGATCTCAGTTATTACTCTTCAACTAATCCTATAAGATTATTTAGAATAGAAACCTTTATGTGGACGACAAAACAATTCGGATTTTATTAATTATTTGAATTATTTGGTTATTCATCACGATCACGCATACAAGTCGTCATTGGTTAATTGATTTTTAACTTATTGTATAACACATAAAAAGTGATAAAATTTTGTACGACAGTTATTATTAATTATCGAGCTTATTTGATTACTTTCATTTATCTGAACGAATAGATGGATACTATTATCTCTAGACCCATTCAAATCCTTTGTTGAAATTAATTTGTTATTAATACAGTACGTAGAATATGTAGACGATACACATCATGATAATAACTAATCTCAATTTCCCATTAGATGTACCGGATGTCAGTGTTAGAGATTGGCGTCATTTTTAGCCATTGATTACATAATAAAAAAAATTTGAAATTATTAATTATATGTTTATATATGTAACGACGATATTTTAAGTTAT